CTGTTAAAGTCCTGGTTTTTGCAACATCCTCTGGCAAGGAGTTCCACAGGCTGATTATGCGCTGTGTGAAGAAATGCTGCCTTTGGTCTGTTTTAAACCTGCTACCTATTCATTTCATGTGGTGAGCCCGAGTTCAGGTGATATGGGAGCATGTAAATCATTTACATAATTATAGAAGATATAAACAGATGAATGAGCTAGATTATATTATCAGGCTTTTTCAGCCCGCATTGTAAGTAACAGACTCTTGTATTCTCATGTGTGAAAGAGCAACGATTTGAAGCCCCGTCTCCCTCACCTTGGGGGCTGGGGGAAATGCTTCTGGTGAGGCTGTGCTGGTCCCAAAGAGCGATCAACCTCTAGCTTTAGTTCAGTGGGAGACAGTCTTTCGAAGTGCACCTGCTCCAAACCCTCTTGGGTCCCCAAACAAAGTTTGCGCTGAAGCCCTGCTCACAGCAAGAGGTTCCAAAGCATGAAAATGCCATTGGGTTTTGAATCGAGCCTCCGGAAGAGAGAGGAAAGAAACAACTCTCCAGGAGGTCTCCTCTCAAGAGCCTTTTGGGCGAGGAGAAATGCTCCAATACAGACATGCTCTTGCTTTACTCAGTAGCTGGGGTAATAAATCACACACTCTCCTCCTCTGCACCTGCCTGGAGACTTGAAATATGCTCCCTACAGGTGCTACACATGCCTTTGTTTGCATGGGAGGCTGCCCCCCACACATACGCATCGCCCTCCGACAAGAGCTGGCCACCTGACAGGCACTAACGGGTTAAAGCTGACACTTTATGCTGCAAACGTTTACTAACACGTGACTTTTCCTGGCAGTTCCTCAAAACCAAACAGCCCTTTAGCCTTCAGTAGCAGCAGCACATTAATAAGGTAATAAACTCACACATTGCTGGTTAAACGGGCAGTTAAACGGTGAGCAATCTGGTTAGTGTGCCCACAGATACATTGAAAAAGATGAAAACCAGCGGAGGACAGTGACTGTCAATGAAGGAAGGAAATGTTTACAGGACCTCCCACGGTGAAATGATCGGTGACATCCCTTCCCGTAACGAGAGGCTGCCCAAACGGCCGTGCTCATGTTGAACCTGGTCCAACACTGGGGGTTTGAAAGTTCAACACAAACTCTAGCACGTGGGGTTTGTTTTCTGCTGAGGCAATCTCAGGCAAACAGCAGCAGTGGGAGAAAACAATATTTTGGGGGGAGCAGGGTTCAGAAGCCCTCAGCAGGGACCTCACACTCAGTGAAGACAAAGGGAATTTTATCCTTGTCTTCAATATCACCCTGTGGTTAGCCTATTTCATTCCTTGACAAACTATATGTCTTCCCAGAGAAGACTCCCAAGCCGCTGATGGGCCGAGTGATACACTTCACCCATGTGCCTATGTGCTTTCCCGCCACAGACTGTGACTCTCTGCCCTTTCTGGGTGGTGTCCCCGAGGACACGCGGGGCATGTCTACACGAGGAAATTATTTAAAAATAATGAAATCATAACTCCCAAAATAACTATTTCGAAGTTAGCATTATTCCCCAAGGAAAGCCGGAGTGTAGATTTCAAAATAACCAGCCCGTTATTTCAAAATAACAGGCTTCGTAGTGTGGACGCTCCGCTTATTATTTTGAAATAAGGGGGGTTATTTTGAAATAACTCCCTAGTGTAGCACAGAGCTTATTTAGTGATGCTTCAAAACCTCACCCACCTTAATCTGGGACAATGCCATCTCTATATCTGTGTAACTGTATAAACTGATACTTGTAATTCCTCAGAGCCTAAGCCTGACCCCATAGATACAGCACCTTCCCTTTCAAACTTGTAGCTTGTAAACTTTATCTGAAACATTAGCTGCAATGATATTGTAGCTGTATACATAGGCACACACCATACATAGGGCACTTCCACTAGAATAATTTTTGTTCCCAAGGAACAGTGAGGCATTCTATTTAGAGAAGAAGGAGAGAAATCCAAACTTTTCCTGATAATTTAAATCGTGCTGGAGGGAAAACTCCTGTGTTTGTATGACAGGAAAAGAGGGTTCACAGACCTGACCTAGTTTTGCAAACATGATGAAAAAGAGCCAGCACGGTTTGGCAAAGTTTTGAATTCCACAAGTTTCCTCTTACCCTGCTAAATTCCTTTTTTTTTTTTTTTTTTTTTTCTCAGCTAGACCCTAGAACCAAACACACTTAATCAGCAGGTACCTGTGATGCAAGTAAGTGGTGTTTTCACATCTTAGAAAAGCACAATTTAATGAGGTTGTTTACCAGCCTATATCAATGACTCAAACCATCTGGAGGGTGTAGGGTTTAAAGAAATTAATCAGGCTGTTATGCAGGAATGGGACATTTCAGGTGGCTGCTGGAAGGCTGCAGAGGTTCACCTTTCCAAAGCCCATGCTAGGCTGAAAATACTGGGGATGAAAACTTTTTGCAGAGACTTCCTGCCTTGCAAATACCTTCACCCAGGTTCATCAGAAATAGTCCCTAGTCACCCACAGTCACCAAAACCTCATGTTACCAATGGCTGGTTATTCCTCTATGACGGGCAGCTCACAATGTATAAGGTCAGGGGTAGGTATTTTGTGGGAGGTTAGTTCAGCACTTCGCACAGAAAAACTCCCTTCCGTGAAGGCTCTCTAATGGCTTTACAAACGCAATGAATTAACCACAGAATTCTCCTGGAAGGAAGGTTGGAATCGTTATTCATAATTTCAGGTGGAGAATTGAGGGACAGTGAGGAAGTGATTTACCCAAAAGTAGTGTCACGTCTGGGACCAGGGCGTGGGAATGGTCAACACAAGCTCAGATTTCTGGCACAGTTGTGGTCAGGCCTCATGTTTGTTGATCTGGTACAGAGACTTTGCGCAGACTTCTTATGGCCATGCAGGCAGGAAAGATTCAGGCCTTTGTTTTTGGACCTGTCAGGCCCCAAAAAGGGCTCACCCCCTTTGATGAAATGTAGAATCATAGAATCCTAAGGCTGGAAGAGACCTCAGGAGTCATCATGTCCCACCCCCCTACCCAAAGCACGACCAACCCCAACCCAATCATCCCAGCCAGGGCTTTGTCAAGCTGGGACTTACTCATAGACTCAAAGGCTACGTCTACACTGGCATGATTTTCCGAAAATGCTTTTAACAGAAAAGTTTTTCCATTAAAAGCATTTTTGGAAAAGCACGTCTAGATTGGCAGGATGCTTTTCCACAAAAGCACTTTTTGCGGAAAAGCGTCCGTGGCCAATCTAGACGCGGTTTTCCACAAAAAAGCCCTGATCGCCATTTTTGCCATCGGGGCTTTTTTGCGGAAAACACTACTGTGCTGTTTACACTGGCCTTTTTGCACAAAAGTCTTTCGGAAAAAGACTTTTGCCCAAACGGGACCAGCATAGTATTCCCGGAAAAACACTAACAATCTTACATGAGATGGTCAGTGCTTTTCCGGAAATTCAAGCGGCCAGTGTAGACAGCTGGCAAGTTTTTCCGCAAAATCATCTGATTTTGCGGAAAATCTTGCCAGTCTAGACACAGCCATAGACTTTAAGGTCAGAAGGGACCATTATGATCATCTAATCTGACCCCCTGCACAGTGCAGGCCACAGAATCTCACCCATCCCCTCCTGGAATAATCCTCTCACCTAGATCTCAGATATTGAAGTCCTCAAATGATGGTTTGAAGACCCCAAGATGCAGAGAATCCTCCAGCAAGTGATCCGTGCCTCATGCTACAGAAGAAGGCGAAACACCTTAAACACCTCTAGGGATGGAGATTCCACCACCTGCCTAGGGAACCCAGCCCAGTGCTTCACCCCCCTCCTAGGGAAATAGTTTTTCCTAATATCCAACCTAGACCTCCCCCACTGCAACTTGAGCCCATTGCTCCTTGTTCTGCCATCTGCCCCCACTGAGAACAGCCTCTCACCAGCCTCTTTGAAACCCCCCTGCGGGAAGTTGAAGGCTGCTATCAAATCCCCCCTCACGCTTCTCTTCTGCAGACTAAATAAGCCCAAATCCCTCAGCCTCTCCTCGTAGGTTATGTGCTCCAGCTCCCTAATGTAGGAATGTGCCATACCAGGTGATCCCAATAGTTCACCTGGCCCAGTTTCCTGCCTTAACAGTAGCCAGAACAGACACCTCTGAGGAAGATGCAAGAGACCGGTGGTGACACATCCTGGAATAAACTATTGTTCCCTAATGCCCAGCAGGCTGTAGTAGTCTTAGGCCTTGAAGCATGCAGGCTTATATCCTGTCGACGTATTTTTATCCTATTGTGGATGTTCATATTGTCCATGAAAAAGTCCAACCCTTTTTTAAAATCCTCCTAAGCTCTTGGTCTCAATGATACCTTGTAGCAGTGAGTTCCACCGGCCAGATATGTGTTAAGTAAAAAGTGTTTCCTTTTGTCTCCATCCCAGGGCCTGGCATAGCTCTTGCTGCAGGTCATGGGTACCAATGAACGAATTCCTCCACTGTATTGAAATCTCACAGACCAGTGTTTCTCATCCAGAGGGACGAGTACCCTTGGGGTACTCGAGAGAAGTCTGGGGGGGGTACGTCAAGACAACTGAAATTTGGAGAAAACTGAATTTTTGTTTTAAGTTTTACAGCACTTTATTATTTTTGTATTTTTTACACCCAAACATGTCATCACTTGCCTGGCTACGATTAAGCTGTTTAAACAAATGTGTTGCAATGGTAGAAAAAAAATGTGTGTGTCTGAAAACTGTAGGTACTGGGGGTACTTATAATTTTTTTAAAGGGGTACTTGTAAAAATAAGGTTGAGAAACACTGTCACAGACAATGTGCTGCCAAGTTCTATGCTGTTGCCGCTGAATTTTGCATGTTTAAAAGCAGCACAGGAAGTGAACATCCCACGAATTCAAATTAAAATAAACTTCCTTCCCTAATGTACTGTGTGCTCAGTGGTTTTTTAAAATTCTTTCCACAGAGACTGAAGCCACACAATGTGCTTTAAAAGTCGCCAAAAACACTCACTGCGAGAGGGTATGCGTGGCTTGACTGAGTGAAGCGATTCTTGTCCGATGTGACTGAACGCATTTGTAGAAGTTCCAAGATGTTCCTCTGAATCAGTGGAAAACTGGAACTGGACTGTGCCAGACTCAACCTGCTTCACCTGCAATTTAAACAGATTTTGACAGACATGTGATCTGTGCCTATCCTTTACACCCACTTTCTGGAATAAAGAGCGGTCTACTGCCAAGCATCCCACAAAGTTAGAATAAGAAATTGTAATGCAAGGCATGAGGAGACAGACTAGCAAGAGATTGGTTCGGTGGTTGTTTTGGGGTTTTTTCCCCCAAAAACCAGGTTTCCAGAAAGTTTTGGTTCTGTCTGAACGTTATTTTACTTGAGGAAAGAGGTTGTGGGAGGACACTAAACTCCAAAATTATCAAATTTTCCTCCCAGTCTCAGGTAGGCTGGATTAATTACCCAAACTGTAGATCTGCTTCTACAAACTGTGCATAGAAGATACTTTTCTTTCTTCCAGCAACTCCAGAGTTTTATGTTACGGTCGGTCAGTTCCATTTCTGGTCACAGGACAACATCACAATGGGGCTTGTGTGCTTTTTCGCACATGTCGGTCTGTTCCTAAATCTGTCTACCAGATCGAGAGTGAACTTTGGCTTTCCACAAGCAGACCAGCACTAGGAAAGAGCTTTAGCAAGTAGAGTTAAAAACAGAAGGAAGCAACATCTTGGCAAGTGTTTGGGGGAACAAATTCATGAATCCATAGCATGGTTCCCCAAACTTCCTTTGACATCAGCGGAGTCACAGAGTGGGTAGCAATTCCCTCATTACTGTGTTCGATGGAAAACCCCATTCCCAGTGTATTCCTGCTAATTAGACTGCAATACTGTTGTGTTCTTGTATTAAAAGTAGATCAAAATCTTCTCCATCTAATCTTCCCTTTAAGAGGAGCCCTTTCTAAATGTAAATCAGCCTTCAACGATCCCTTTCAGCAAGTAGCATGAGTCTCTTCTAGCTCAGGAGACAAAAGGAAGAGGAGGTTGTAGCTATTTTGTTCTCTTCCGTGAATCTTTCCATCGGCCAACAAGGAAATACGCTCAACCCGCAGTTGTAACAGATTCATTCTTATCAGAAGCCAGGCATCTAATCCTGGAGGCTCGCCATCCCAAACCAAGCACTTCCTTCCAAGGTCTGCACTGGGCTGGCTGATCTCAATTCTGTTCCATTATTTCCCCATTTCTATTTCTAATGAACAGTTCTGGAGATGTGGTGCAGCATGCAATGTTCATTCTTCATTCATTTTAAACAGGAGCTGCCTCTACTATGGATTGAACTGCCAAGAATGCAGGAGAAAGACTTAAAATGGGAGACTTGAAAGGGGGAAGGTGTAAAAAAGCTGATCCATAGGACTAACTCATTTCTTTAGCACCTTCTGCCTTCTCCGTGCCGTCTCCTAAGCACTTGGCATCAATGATACCTTGTAGCAGTGAGTTCCACAGGTCAGTTATATGTTAGATAAAAAGTGTTTTCTTTTCTCTTGCTCCAGGTATTGGGCAACACTAAACCAACCCTTACGCTGTTCTGAGGTCTCGCAGACAATATCTCCACCAGATTACAGTTAAAACTATAAAAAAAACTCATCCAGGAACAGTATATTTGTTAAAAGCAGGCACCTTCTCCCAAATCTTCTGGAAAACAGGGTGAACAAATTTTCATTGGGGCTTCCCAGTTAGAGCCAGAAAAATTTTGGGGGAAAGACTTCACATGCAACGTAATGGACTAGCAAAACCACTCAGTCTGCAAACTCTGCTTGCCCCCACAGTGTGTGTGAAGTTTAAGAAAGTCTAAGCAACGTGCAGACATCTTCACGCTCTACTTCCTCCAAGTTAAAATGGAACAGGGACTCGAGGGTCACGGCTTTTCCCTAGGACTGTGTGTGACTGTCAATGACCCAGTTCGTTGGTATAATGGGATTCTGTACAGACAGCATCTTTCTTGGAGCTGTGTGCTTGTTATGCATCTCTAACCACAGGACTTTATTAAGCATTGGCAGTTTCCTCTTGGCCTCTTGAATATCAAAAGACAGCTTCTGGGGATGGGCAGATTCATCCAGAGCAAAGTGCAAGCTCTTCAGAGCAAGGACTGTCACCTGCTATTTTTATGTACATCACCTAGCACAAATACGGCCCACGCCTGATTGCGGCCTCCAGATGCTGCCAAAATAAATCACTTCACACAGTCTATGACAGTGCACAGGGTGTGCACATCATAAATAATGAACACTAAACAGCTGATAAAATAAACGCACAATGTGTCTTTTCTGATGCATTGTTCTTACTCCTTTTCTCATGTGTGTTCATTCAAGGGCCGGGTGACACTGGGCTTAGCAAGATACTTCTAGGACGCTTTTAAAAGAACAAGAAAGCTCTGAGTCATGCGTGCACCGAAGGCCTTCAGGATGGTTTTGTTGCACTTTTGCTAAAGGACAGCTCAGGCCATGTCTTCACTTGGGGAAAGATTGACGCTGGCACAATCAATCTTCCAGAGTTCGATTTAGCGGGTCTAGTAAAGACCCGCTAAATCGAACTCAGAGGGCACCCACATTGGTGGCCGAACTCCTGCTAATGCAAGGAGTAACGGAAGTTGATGAGAGTGTTTGCTCCCATCTGCCTCCCACTGTGGGGATGGCGGGGAAACTCAGATTAAGGTACGTCAGCTCCAGCTACATAATTAACATAGCTGGAGTTGTGTATCTTGATTCGCATAGACCTGGCCTCAGAGAATCTTGTTTTTACCTCTTCAGAGCTCATGCTGGTAGGAGGCATCTTGTAAACCAGCACATGGCTGGGGTTATGCTGGGCACCTCCTTGCAGTGGTAAGATCACTTCTGTAGAACTCGAGTCCAGCGAAGGATTCCAAACAGCCCATCGGATGGAATGCATATAGGCTGCTTTAGCCAAAGAGGACATGGACAACACCTAGGATTAAAAATATATGAGACAGTAAATAACCAAAGGTGAAGAGCATTTGGTAGTGTGTCTCGACTATCTCGGTGTCACTCCACTGATGTCGTCTAAGAAGGTCAAAAACTTCCAACGCAAAATTCAATAGGAATTGGCCAGTGGCCATGTTTACCTACTGAACAGTAAGAATTGTCTCTTTAGCCCTCTTCTGTTGGAACCTCATTCCATGTAGACAGAGTGACAGACTAACTCTCTATGGCCTTTTTCTTATAAAACAAATATCAGGTTTCCTTTGACTGGGTTTCAACCACAATCAATATTCAGAATGAATGGTGCATCCGATCTTAAGCTATGACCTACAATGAACACAGAGGCATATACATTTCTGCACTGCCCATGAATATTAGAAAAGAAACTGCCCTCTCATCTCCCTTCAGTTACAAATATTTGCAAATTCGCCCCATGTTTCGGCCTATGCTGGTTACTAGTTTAGACACACGCACACAGTTATTGTTACTGCAGAGACGGCTATTGTGTAGCTGAAAAATTCCTAAATCTCTGCAGGTGAAGGCTGGGGGCTCCTAGGAACCAGGCCGGAAGCTATATGTACTGAGAGGCGAGATACCGTGTTCTCCCTTCTACCACACAGAATGAACAACAATACATAAGAGGGACACAATAACAGTGCATGGCACTGCTCCAATAGTAGGGCAACATTCAGAAAATGAATACCAGCCACTCCCCCGGATCCTTCCCTTCAGTTATAGATTTCAATATAGCGGCCAGAACGTCCATTGTTTCAGCCCACTGTTGAGGGGTACTGTTTTGAAGCACATTTTCTGTCTTTCCAGGCCCTTGTTTTTGTTCATAACTGAAAGAATTCCCTTCAAATCTCTGAATGTCCAAGTTCTGTACAAAGTACCAATATTAACTTTGTGTGTTAAGAGGAGCTGGAAAACTTGGAAGAGCTTGCTACCTGCTGCTCAGAGACAAACGCACCACAATTTTTTGGTTGTCTTGACTTCATACTTTGTCATACTAGGGACATCAGAATGAACAAGATCAACCGTCTGAGATCACGTATCAACTCAGAGGCCTGGCTGTGTACAGTCCTTGCTCTTCCTTCCCTGCTTTAGCCAATGGACCACACTTCCCTCTAGAATGTTTACAAGTACACGGTCAGTAAGTAATGTCAGTGCAACAAAGTTCTGCCATGTGTGCTAGTGATGCAACATGTTGTGTGACAAGAGCAGACTAGATGGCTACAGGGGAGTAACAGAAGGCAGGTATATTTGCTCCAGACTGAATAGGTCTCCTTTCCCTGGGTAAATCCAGAACAGTCCAGAATCAATTAAGGCAGACAGGCCAATTGAGATAGTTGAAATCAATCAGGAACTTTCTGGAATCAATTAAAACAGGTTGATCAGGACATCAGGAGTCAATTACAAACCAGCTAATACTGGTTGAAAAGACTCCCCTTCTGCTAGCTCACTGTGTGCAAACAGTTGGGGAGAGAAGGTGCTGCGGAAGGTCTTGGAGGAACAAGCACAAGCAGGTACCTGGAGGAATTCGTGGTGAGGAAGATGCTGGCAGAGCCATGGGGCGTGGCCCCAGGAATCACAGCTGTCCCGTGGTGGTGTCAGGCAGACACTATCACCATGTCCCTGGGCTAGAACCCAGAGTAGAGGGCGGGCCCAGCTTCCCCCATCCTCAAATCCCTATTCACCACAGGGAGAGGATCCCGACAGATGGACGCCCCACTCATTGGAGAAGGGCTAATTTGGTAAAGGGTCTCTCCTGGCCCCGAATCACTTGGAAGGGCAGCGGGGACTATGGGTTTGGTCTCCTCTCTTTTCCCCTTGCCGGCCAACAATGAGGGTGGCTAAACACACCACTAACACGTGCCCTTGAGAAAATGTCTACCCTGAGGGCCGGCGTGAGCCCTTGAGCTGAGCCATCCAGCATGGGACCTGCCCCGGCAAAGGAGGTTTGTCACACTCGCCCGGCAACCCAGCTAGGGGGTACCTGCACTTCGTACCTCGGTGACATCACCCACCAGCCTGGCCTCCCCAGTTTGTGGCGTAACCACAGGCAACACTTTCCATACCCAGGACTCACTAATGGCAGCCCCATCTCCCCTGCACGGCAACTCTCTGGCCAACTTCAACCCAGAGCCAGCCTAACCTTTGCGTAGCCGGGTTAGCGACGCAAGGGCTAGTGCCGAGGCGTTCCCCTCGTTGCCGTACCCGCCGGGGCTGCCTCCTGACAAGGACTCGCCGTCCTGCAGACAGACGGCGATTTGTTCTCTGCTGTGAGGAATGAGCCCATTGAACCCCATTCCAATTCCCGCACTGACGAGGCAGGACAACTAGCAAGCGTCTGACACAGGCCCTCCAAGATGGGAAATGTCTTCTGCAGGGCTCCACACAGGCAGCCACTTGCAAAGCCTCCCCCTAACACCAGGCCCTCTCGAAGGGGATGTATAAAAACGAGCTGACAGGTCTGCCAGTGTCTGAAATCCTGGTACTGAGGACTCTGGGATTGGTGTAGCAATTGGCTTGGGGATTAACCGTGCGTCAGAAAGGGAGTGCGGAGGTCAATTGGGTTCACTCTGGAGCCATCGATGGCCCGGCTTGACGGTTCCCCTTGACGGCCCACCGGCATGTCAGACGGAGACGAATCCTCTGTCTCCAGCTCAGTGTGAAAGTCCCAGACAGACACTCTGTGGGCAGCGGCAGATACAGGGCGAGCTGACACTCCGGTCTGGGTGCCCGGTTCGTAGGCTAGGACAGCAGCATGGCCAGCATCCTGCTGCAGCACAAAGGAGAGCAGGAGGAAGGGCAGGGTAGGCAGGGAATCAGCCTCTTCGGTACCAAATTTGCTGCACTAGCAGCTGAAGGGAGGGGACCTTGCCAAGGACATGCCAAAGGGATCAAGAAAGCACCCGCCAAAAGAGGCCCAGCGTTTCACCTACTGGAGCCCATGGGCACTTTACCCACTAGGCTGGCGCTACAGTCCCAGCCTTCTCGTTTGCTCTTGTGGTTTGACGAGCAGGCAGCAACGCCTGCTTCCCGTAGCTCTGCTCTCAATGAAACACCCATTGGAGGGGTGCAGCTTCCTCCTGTCCTTTTGGTGCTTTACCCAGGGCTGGCAGAGAACTCTTTGGGGAAGGGATTGTTCAGAGCCCAGGACGGAGTCAGCCTTCCCATGATGGCGGCAAGGCCAGAGAGCCATGGAAGAAGCTTGCAGAGACTCCATTTTTCGCCTGGGTTTATTCTGCCAGCAACAAAATCAATGAAGCGAGCAGAAAGTGGTGACGAATGACCCTTCCCAGACAGCAATAGAGAGGTAGCCGAGTTAGTATGATCTTGCTAAAACAAAAGGGAAAGCTATGTAGCACTTTACATGGTTTTTCCTTTTGTTTTAGCCTTCTCAGACAGTCACCGGAGAGGGGCAACTGTGGCTGAAGACCTGCTGTTTGCCAGCATCCTCAACAGCCGCACGCTTCAGGCACAATACTGAGCAGCCTCTGCAGGTGTGTTCCGACATCTCTGTTGGTCACCCAAGGCAACAGGGCATGGAATGGAGCATTTCACCTCCAGGTCGGCCCACATCAGCTGTCAGCCAACATGGGGTGGGCCAGGAGACAAAGCTTTCTCAGCAGCCAAGATCTTGTAACCGCAATATCTCCAGGCCCTCAGGACTAGATCTGAGACCGGCTTCCCAGAGCCACCCAGTCTGGCCAAAGTACTGAAAAGCTACATTAAAGAATCTCCCTTGGAGAGTTGGGAAGCAAATACAGAGATTCCCAGCTCTCGGCGAGCGTCAGTTTGGAACATACAGAGTTGCTGAGTTACTGAGAAGAACCTGGGCAAGGTCTCTGGATGCACAGAGCGATGTGACTGCGGTCCAGGCCCTATTGTACAAGAGATCACAGCACGAAAAGCACTACTACAACTATTAGCAGGCTGAGCTGCAGGTATGGCCTGACTGAGCCATGGAGGTGTGGAGAAAGTGAATAAGGAAAAGTTATTTACTTGTTCCCAGAACATAAGAACAAGGGGTCACCAATTGAAATGAATAGGGAGCAGGTTTAAAACGAACAAAAGGAAGTTTTTCTTTGCCCAACACACAGTCAACCTGCGGAACTCCTCGCCAGAGGAGGTTGTGAAGACCAGGACTTTTAACAGGGTTCAAAAAAGGCTGGGCATGGGTGACAGGAGAGGGATCATTTGATAATTCCCCATTCAATTCATTCCCTCTGGGGCAGCTGGCACTGGCGATTGTGGGCAGACAGGACACTGGGCTAGAGGGACCTTTGGTCCGACTCTGTATGGCCATTCTCATGTTCTTAAGAACATAAGAACGGCCGTACTGGGTCAGACCAAGGTCCTTCTAGCCCAGTATGTGATGAGACATTCTTATGTGATGTCCCCAAGAGGTGCTCCTTCAGGACAGCTTTAAAGCACCCTGGTAAGGCAACAACACGTGGGGAAAACACGTGGCTCCTGGAGCTTGTGCCACGCCTGTTCCCTGGCTATGCAGATGCCTTCTGCCTACTGAGCTCTTAGCCCGGCACCTTCTTCCAGAATTAAATCTGCTTTGAGTCTTCTTTTGTTTACGCTGCCCTGAGAGCTGGACGTAAGCGCAAAGAAACGTAGGCTTGTACAAAGAACTAAATAATACAAATCTGCATTCAGACGCCCAGCCCTCTGCCGGTCCTTGGGCTTTCACTTTTTAAATGAGTTGAATCCAATATCTAATTTTCCAATTGTGTGGTTTTCGTCAGTTTGTCTTCTGCCAATCGATAGACATCCCATCTGCCAGCAGGGCATGTGTCACTTGTATAAATCCCCGTTCCCCCGCCCCCGTGCGCTTCGGACAGCTCTAATGAGAGAAGACATTTCCTGCATCATCAATGACTCTCTCCACCACCTGAGCAGGACAATTAGGGACTCGTAACAAATCAATTGCTATTGATTAAGCAGCGCGTTCTTACTACAGACTGATGGCTG